TGTTTAAGTACCCTTGCTGTGTCATTTGGCTACGTTGAAATTATTCTTAATTTCATTTATGAATCCCTTCCTTTGAAGCATCTCAATTGATACAATACAATCCAAACCACATACATTGCATATATTTAAAAAAAATAGTTTGAGCAATTAACATATATGAAAAGAGTTCATAAAGCAGTTTCAGATACATTCAGATAACAGCTGGCACATACATAGTGCTTAGTTCATAGCGTTGGAGTTTGTGATTCCCAGTCTGAAAAATGAAATCTTGTGCAAGATGGTGAGTGGTATAATGCAGGCTTGCATTTAGCTACTAGCCTGGTATCCACTGGTAGGCATGCCGTGCAGGTGAATGAAAGCCTTCTGGGGGAAAGAGAACTAGACACCTGGAAGCAGACTACTCAAACCTTCATTGGAAAAGAGTTCCAGAGCTTGGAGGCTGCCCAGGAGAAGACCCCTTTCCCCACAGAGGCTAAGCCAGACTTTGTTGGATGGAGTCTGTAGGTCAGACATGTCCAAAGTCCGTTTCGGGGGCCTAATCCGGCCTGCTGGTCGATTTAATCTGGCCCCTGTGGCAGTTTATTTCCTGGGGTAAAATCCCAAAAAAACCTCAGCAACTTCAATCCTAAAAAGAAACTCAACAATTTTGGGGTAAAATGCTAAAAAAGCTCAATTTCAATCCTAAGAAAAGGTCAGAGGTCAACAACTGTGGTCGGCCCTTTGTTTGGCCGCCACGGCCCTTCACTTCATCAAATCTGGCCCTCTTTGAAAAAAATTTGGACACCACCGCTGTAGGTGAACCTCCCCAAGAAGGTTTCAAGAGCTGGAAGGGAGGGCAGGTTCATAATGGGACTACAGATAATTAGGACCCAAGTTGTTTTAGGATTTAGAGATCAGACATAGCGCAGGGATGTCCAACCTGTAGATCGCGATCTACTGGTAGATCACCTGGGTGCTCCAGGTAGATGGCGGGACGATAGGAAGTGATCACTGAGAAAGTTTTGGGGCCCCCCCAAAAAAGCTAAACAACCCTCGGCAAATCTCCCCCCGTTTAGTTGCCACCTTTGGTAGATCACTGTCAGTTTTTTCATACTGGGAGTAGATCACAGTCTCTTGGGAGTTGAACGGGTCTGGACATAAGCAAGGGATGTTTTGCATGCAGAAGGTGTCTGGATCATTTCCAAGTAGGACTGGAAATGTCCCCTCCTTGAAAAACTGGAGAGATGCTACTAGCCTGTGTCAGCAATGCTGAGCCATCTGGGCCAGTGGTCCGATTGTATAAGCAGCTCCCTGTTTTCCTGTGTTCACATCACTTGGCAAGCCGTTTGTCTCATTCTGCACCAGCTACAAGTTCCAGACATTTCGCCCCAAAGGCAGGCTCTGCATAGAATGCCTCTCAGTCGGCAGATCTGGAAGTTGCATGGTCTGAATGAGAACAGCCTGGTCTCTGTCTTCCTGTGGCACTCAAAGCAGGCATGGCAGCCAACGCTGATAAAATGCCATAAGCTGCCACCTGGGATTCCAAGAGCTCAGCCACATTGCTAAGGCCAGCAGATCCAGATCTCTTGCAACGTATTTTTTTAACCAGCTTTGGCAATTAGGTTAAAGCACCTCCATAATTGCAAAAAAGCAATATTTTTATTTTTGCAATATTTTAAAACCAGTTGGCGATTAGATGAACGCACCTCCATATTTGCAAAAAATTAAAATGCTTATTTTTTGCAATATTTTGCTGAAGAGTTTTGCGGCACGGCAAGAGAACGTAACACGGAACGCCCTCTCTTTCTCGTTCCAAACCCCCCTCCACACTCTTTCTCGTTTTCTCAACCGCTTCCTCTCTTCATTCTCTGCGCGGCCACCAGCTTTTCCTGTCTCTAGGAAGCCTTCACAAGAGATCTTCGCTGGCCGGGGCTTTCCCAAAAAAGGGCTTTAGCCTTGCATTTAGATTATGCCATTTCCTTTGCCACTCCCTTTCCTGTGAAGTAACAAGACATTCACTTCCCCTCTCCTCCTTTTTTCTCTCCTTTTTGTTCTATCACCCCTCGAGTCTATCTATCTGCCTTTCCCCCCTTCCTTTTTTTGCAAATGTGCTGTGCCGTGCCCTGCAAGTAGACATCAGTCTGCTTGGAGAGAACTCAGGATGGCTAGATGGAATCCTGCCAGCCACGGAACAGGTAAGGGAACCTGTACCAACCTGGAACTTTTTTACTATGCTCTCACGGTTGTTGTCTTCTTCTGACTTTGGGCAAGATAGCCTTTCGCAACGGGGTGGTGTCTCTGCAACTGCCCAGCCCCAGCAGCTTTTGCAAACAGAATCCACTTGTCCACAGTGTTTGGGCTTTATTTGTTTTTAACCACCTGCCCACAACTTCATGTGTCCGTTGCCCCAGGGGGAAAAGAACCAGCTTTTCCCCTACCTGTTTGCAAAAGCTTCCTTGCAGGGAGGCAGTTCTTACAAACTGTGGGCAGATAAATGTCTACCTGTCTGTCTCATTTAAGGGCCTGCCTGTCAAAACCATATTCTAAATACTTCAGTGCTATGCTGTAGTTCATTCCCGAATGATTTCCCTTAATGCACATTTGTATTCCGGTGTCTTCATAACTAGGGGAATTTCTGCTTACTCAGAAGCTTGGCGTTTCGGGAATATTTGTGCTCAGAGCTGGAAAAAATATTTCATATCCTATTTTACGCTGGTGTGACCCGTCCTTGTCTCAATGCTTTCTGCTCGTTCTCTTCCATTTTCCTCTTCATCTCCTCCCCACCTCTTTTTCCTCCCATGCCTTTGTTCCACGCACTTTACCAGACTTCTTTTTAGCTGCTTCTGCCACCTCCGTTTCTCTCCCCCCCCGCCAGCCGCCAACATCCTCTTTCGGGGATCATAAACGCATAGATGTTTAAGTGGATTATCATATTGATGCTTCGGTTCAAGCTTATGCGCCACATCTTGGTCGGCGCATAGAAATAAGCCCTCTTTGAAGCGCCGCGCTCGTGCCGCCGTCGCTCCTCGGAAGACAAAATCGTGTGGGCGCCTCTTCTGCGTGGGAAGCTGTTTGCACGAAGCGGTTCCTGTGTGTGGTGTTACTGCAAAGCTTGCTCTTTTTGCAGGGGGGCTGTGGCCAAAGATGGCGCTCGAGGCATTTGGGTGTCATTTCACCACAATGCATTCCTCGGGTGCAAAGGCATCCACCCAGTTTGCCATCTCCTTCCTCCATGTCGGCACTGAGGTTACCCTGAGAGGTTTCGCACCTCTGCCAGCAGCCGTTGTGGGTGAACTGGGAGACACCCAGTTATGCCACGTTCTCCCCAGGAACTTTTGTCCGAACCCCACATTGCCCTCTTTCCAGTAACTGGCAACTCCCCCCCCCCGCCCATATCTGTTTTCTAAGCCCATAAACTTCTCCCAGAACATATTAATCCGCTGCTGCTTTTATCTGTTTTATTTAAATATTCATACGACGTTTCGCGTTTTAGGATTTCTGCTCCAGATTATTTTCATTTCTCTGTTCACATTAACTCTATTTCAAGATGGGGTAGTGGCAGAACATATACTGTCAGGTTACAATTGTATTTTATTTTATTTTCTGACCAGGATTCGGCTACATAACTTCACTGACCAAGTAGTTTGTTTTATTATTATTATTATTATTATTATTATTATTATTATTCTGTATCTTGTGTTTCTGTATTGTGATTTTATGTTGTAACTGCCCTGAGACTCGCAGGTATAGGGCGGTATACAGATTAAAAAATAATAATAGTTCGTGAGTTTCCTGAAGCTATTTTATTCTAATTGTACCTCTAGCTTAATAGTATATTAAAGGCAGTAAGCGAATTTCCTTTCCACTTGGATTAGTCATCGTTTTGTGTTGTGATGTAGGGGCTTCCTTTTCATTGCCTGCTTTTATTTTATTTTTATTTTAAGAAGACCCGAGGTGGTTACAGGATCTGACAGGAGTCACCATCCTGGCGGAATGATTCCTACCCACATACCAAAATTTTTCCTAAAATCCCACCATGTGCCACCGCCCCCCACTCCCAAATCTACTCCAAGTGGGAAGTTTTTAATGGTTAATGTTTTATTGTGTGTTTTAATATTTTGTTGGGAGCCGCCCAGAGCGGCTGGGGCAACCCAGTCAGATGGGGTGGTATATTAAATAACAAAATTACTATTATTATTGCTCCCCAAAAAAATTTGGGGGGATCCCCACAGCAGATGGGTGTGTGAAGAGAGCGAGGGGAATTTCCACAGGACGGGCAGAAGTCATTCGCAACTTTGTGCCCTGTACTATAAACCAGTGATGGCCAAACTTGGCCCTCCAGCTGTTTTGGGACTACAACTCCCATCATTCCTAGCTAGCAGGACCAGTGGTCAGGGATGATGGGAGCTGTAGTCCCAAAAGAGCTGGAGGGCCAAGTTTGGTGATCACTGCTATAAACCGCCTCCCCCCCAAAAAAATATCCTGGGAAGTATAGTTTGTTCAGGGAAACCCCCCTATTCCCCTTCACAGGACTATAGTTCCCAGAGTCTTTTTATAGTCAACTCCTCTTCAGAAGGGAGTGCAGAAAATGGCGGCCTGAAGACAGAAGACATTTCCCAGGATTCTCTGGGGGAAGCCATGACGGTTTAATGTGGCATCATCGTGCTTTGAATATATGGTGTGAATGTGGCCTTTGGGCTGGATTCAAACCCTGTGATTTTCTGTGTGAGAATTAGTCTCTGGTTTCCAGGCGGTGAAAATATCCCAAGTACATAGTGGGCAAAGATGCCCAGGAAATTAGATGAGAACTAGGCCCGGTCCTAAGTTAGGCCGGAAAAGGCGGCCTACGTCAGCTGGCAGTTTCTTGTGGGGCCAGGAAAGAATGGCAAAAATTGACAATTAGTTAACCAACATGTATTTTTACCACAGGTTTGTGGTAGGAGAGGTGAATGCTGTTTGGATATGCCCCAAAGTGTTTTGAGTCGTCTCTGGATATGAGGCAACTTTCCTGGGAATCTTTTTGCCCATTGTGGGACTCAAACCCACGACCCTGAGATTAAGAATCTCAAGCTCTACCGACTGAGCAAAGTGGGCATTTGTGTGTGTGTGTGTGTGTGTGTGTGTGTGTATATATATATTCGTCTTCGTCTTGCGAGGTACCACTGTATATGAATTTGCAAAGTGTGTGTGTGTGTGTGTGTGTGTGTGTATATACACACACACACACACACACACACTTTGCAAATTCATATACAGTGGTACCTCGCAAGACGAATGCCTCGCAAGACAAAAAACTCGCTAGACGAAAGGTTTTTCCGTTTTCAAGTTGCCTCGCAAGACGAATTTCCCTATGGGCTTGCTTCGCAAGACGAAAACGTCTCGCGACTTTGTTTCCTTTGTCTAAATAATAATTCGCAAGACGAAAAATTCGCTAGACGACAAAACTTGCGGAACGAATTAATTTCGTCTTGCAGGGCACCACTGTACTGCTTTAATAGTAAAATGCCGAAGCAGCAAACAATGTCAAATTCTCTTTTTAATAATAATAATAATAATAATAATAATAATAATAATAATTAAAAGACACAATAACCTATCACTAGGTCACATTCCAGGGAAAGCTTGTGGAAAGAAATTGTAAACTTTTTTTTTGCGTGGCTTTTGGCCGTTCCAGTGGAATATACTATAGTCGCCGTTCCCCTTGGAATTCCAGTTTTTTTAAACTTAATTTGTGCGGCGTAGGGCTGGCTCCTGGCGACCCCTTTGAACGTCACACTGCCGAATCACCAAGCCACAATTTGGAAACCGGGCGGCAATGACTCTTGAACTGCGCTGTTAAATCTGTTGCGTACGAGTCCAGGTTCCCCAGAACAAAAAGGGGGAGCCGCCCCCTTTTCAAAGCAAAGAGACGGGTCCTTATTTTGTTGTCTTGGGAAATTTCCGCATTTTCAGATTGTTCCTCTTCGCAATTAACACACTCTCTCTCCTTCCTCTTTTTAAAGGCGTTTTGAGATAAACTGCCCCGGTATTTTAGCTACCCAAAATGAACTTCCTCCTTTGCTCTGCTGCTGGGCAGATGCTCTGCAGATTTTCATGTGCCCTCGCTAGGCCAGGTCTGCAGAGCTTGCAATCTACAAAGCCACATTCAGCCCATTGAAAGTGGATGGTGGCCTTCAGAAGCCCCCTCGGGAACAGAATTAGGGACCGACTATTTTTTGTAATCGTAATCAAAGAATAATAGAATTGGAAGGGACCTCGAGGGTCCAAACTCCTTCAATGCAGGAATCTCAGCAAGGGCCCTTCTCCTCCCAACTATTGCTGTCTCACACTTTCTCCACTCTAAAATCTGGAGATTCGCCTTGCTCCCAAAACCCAAAAAGAATAGCCAAGGCGTGTGACCTTTTTCAGACTGCGGCCAATGGGTTTGAACTAAAGGGACCCGTCTGATAAGGGAAATAACTTGCTAGCTGGGTATTCCCCCCCCCCCCCATTTGTTTGCTTAAGTTGATCCCGAAGAGACAAGCCATTACTGCTGAGCTTCAAAAGCAGCTTGCCTTTTCGGCATTAGAAGTTGCTTAAAACCACGGTGCCTTGAATTGCAGCCCCAAATACTGGTTGAGCAATGCTGTAAGTTTCAGAGATGGTGTGATTAATCACATCGAAGGGTCTCTCTCGTACTTTTGTTTGTTTGTGGCCACTAATAAATCACTTCTGGGATTACCACTTGATCAGCAGGACTGGGCGAAACCTTCCCCCGAGATATTCATAGGCTGCTGCCAGTCAGAATAAACCATCCTTCCTCAACCTCTGGTGTTTTGCACTACAGATCCAAACTAACCAGGTGTTTTAGACTACAAGCACCAGATGTGCTGGCTGGGAGCTGTAATCCAAAATATCTGGAGGGAGCTGGGTTTGGGAAGGCTGGAATAAACCATACTGGGGGGCAAGATAGGCTAATTGACCTGGGATAAAGCACCAGCTTCGTCGATTTCCGTGTTCATGCGGAGCCTCCTTCCTTTGGGATTTCCACTGAAAGCATCTGTCAGGGCATGTTTATTAGGCGTAAGATATCCCAGCAGCTGGGAAGGAAGATTAGCCACCAAAAGAGATCAGCGGGGAGAAGCCCTCGCCAACAGACAGCTCCCTCCTCCAGCAAAGAGCTGCTGTGCTTGCTGAGTGCAAGTCCGGCGCAGCTTCCTCCTCCTCTGAGCACTGGGGAAGTCAAGGGGCAAGGCAGCCCTGAGGCCTTTCCAGCCTTCCTTCTATGCTGGTAGGGGCAGCATGTGGCCAGGAGTCCTCTGTGTTCAACACAAGCGGATCCAAATTCCTTGCACGCTCAAGCACTGTGTCTTGCAGCCTGGCTCTCGGAGTTTAGCGTGAGTTACGATATTCTTGGTATATGTGCATGAATGTAGATATTGGAGTTGTATCTAACGAAGCCCTCCCATTTGCTCCAGGACTTAACATTTGTGCAAGGCAACGTCCCCCTCTCCTCCCCATGTTGCCCCCAAATCCTGGGGGTGGGGGCAGAGCAGGAGGGGAAGTTCTGCTGCACAAGCAGAAGTCCTTTTTGCAAACAGCATGACTTATTTGTTTCTTATTTGTACAGTGGTACAGAACTTAATGGGACGCGGGTGGCGCTGTGGGTAAAAGCCTCAGCGCCTAGGGCTTGCCGATCGAAAGGTCGGCGGTTCGAATCCCCGCGGCGGGGTGCGCTCCCGTTGCTTGGTCCCAGCGCCTGCCAACCTAGCAGTTCGAAAGCACTCCCGGGTGCAAGTAGATAAATAGGGACCGCTTACTAGCGGGAAGGTAAACAGTGTTCCGTGTGCGGCTCTGGCTCGCCAGAGCAGCGATGTCACGCTGGCCACGTGACCCGGAAGTGTCTCTGGACAGCGCTGGCCCCCGGCCTCTTGAGTGAGATGGGTGCACAACCCTAGAGTCTGTCAAGACTGGCCCATACGGGCAGGGGTACCTTTAACTTTACCTTACAGAACTTAATTCGTTCGGGATGTCCGTTCTGAACCTGAAACTGTTCTTAACCTGAGGTACCACTTTAGCTAATGGGGCCTCCTGCTGCCACTGTGCCGCCGCCGCGCGATTTCTGTTCTCATCCTGAAGCAAAGTTCTTAACCCGAGGTACTATTTCTGGGTTAGCAGAGTCTGTAACCTGAAGCGTCTGTAACCCGAGGTACCACTGTATTGAATATTTAGAGTTGAGATTAAATAAATTCCTATGTGTATTTTTTTAAAAAAAACTCAATTGAAAGCATTGCAGTGAACCTGGCTAGCTTCTTTCTCCTCTGTTTGCATTCTGGGAAAGGAGATTGTGCAAATGCTTGTGCGAGCCTCATCTCTGACCGACGATGCCCAGAGTTGCATAGAGAGGCTGCTGAATGACAGGAAGGAGTTGCCCAAATGGTGAAACCAGATGCTCATCAACAAATGTAGAGTTCCCAATCCTGCGTTTGCCTCTAAAGGTGAAGGAAATGGAATCGTTTTGTGTTGTGTGTGCTTAACCCTTCGCCGGCAGCAACTTTCCCCATTTCCCTGGGAAACATGGTCTTGGAGCTCAGCTAGAGTGAGGACCAGTTTCAGACGACATGTAATGACCAAAGGAATATTTAATTCCCTGGCCTTCCCGCACACACATATTGGTTCTTCCCTGCAAGTGACCAGTCCCTTTTTCTCCTCTCTTCAAAGGCAAACACAGGATTAGTAACCCTGCTCCCATGTTTTATGATGAATCACTAGTTCTTTGCCTCAAGTTAGGGATGGGTGTTTTTTATGCACACTTTAGTATATGCATTTTTTTGTACACATTGCTTGTGTGGAGAACTGCATTGCGATATTCAGAGAAGTGCACATTTCAAAGGGATGCCTGTGTTTTGGTTCACACATTGGACAGTGCAGAATAGGTAGATTCTCCTTTCAATGCAAACTGAGCCAGATTCCGCCCCCATCTCTACTTCAAATGCACTTTAGAAATTTTGGTTGGAGCAGGCAGGGCCAGTCTTGTTTTGCAGCAGGACACATGCTGCTTTTCCAACCAAAGCAGCAGCAGCACGCATCACTACTCTAACTGAGGAGGCTCCCTCCTTCCTAGTTTGTACCTTTCCAGATCGCTCTGTACACTCCATCTTCCTCAATGCCTTCTGCTTCCAGAATGGGTTAGGTAAAGACTTGTGGGGAAGATGGGTGGATGAAGGCTCATGATGGATAGCTCACTCAGTAGAGCATGAGACTCTTAATCTCAGGGCTGTTGGTTCGAGCCCCACGTTGGGTAAAATATTCCTGCATTGCAGGAAAGTAGACTATAGATGACCCTCGTGGTTGCATATGTCTGCACTCCTTAACTCTGTAAAGCTTTCTAGGGCCCCCTAGAAAGACGTCCGTCTTTCCAGACATTTATTTTTGGGAAGAGGCTGTCACTCAAGCCACGGTGCACACACTCTGCATCCAGAAGATCCTCTGTTCCGTTTCCCCCTCCCCACCCTGCAATCTTCACTGAACAGAGTCAGAAGTGGCAGATCAGAGAAGAGCACTGAGTGAGCCCCTAGAACAGTGTTCCCCAACCTTGGGCCTCCAGCTGTTTTTGGACTACAACTCCCATCATCCCTCACTAGCAAGACCAGTGGTCAAGGATGATGGGAATTGTAGTCCAAAAACAGCTGGAGGCCCAAGGTTGGGGAACACTGCCCTAGAACACTTACGGAGGAGAAGATCAGAAAGCGTTTTTTATTTCTGCCTCGACTGCTGACCCAGGCAGCAAGGCAGTGATGGAGAGGCAGGCAGGCAGTATTAGGTCTCCCTCCCTGTTGTGGTCCCAGGACGTCCATCTCCTCTCCAAGCCTGCAATAAATTCTCCCCCACACGTGCCATCGATTGGAAAAAGCCAGGACTGGAGAATGAATGACTCTAAGGGCCATTCTTGCATTTTACGCTTTAGTTCAGGGGTCAGCAAACTTTTTCAGCAGGGGGGTGGTCCACTGTCCCTCAGACTTTGTGGAGGACCGGACTATATTTGGGGGGGGGTGAACGAATTCCTATGCCCCACAAATAACCCAGAGATGCATTTTAAATAAAAGGACACATTC